AGAGAGAGAGAGAGAGAGAGAGAGAGAGAGAGAGAGAGAGAGAGAGAGAGAGAGAGAGAATGTGTGTGTGAAAGAGAGAGAGAGAGAGAGAGAGAGAGAGAGAGAGAGAGAGAGAGAGAGAGAGAGAGAGAGAGAGAGAGGAGAGAGAGAGAGAAGAGAGAGAGGAGAGAGAGAGAGAGAGAGAGAGAGAGAGAGAGAGAGAGAGAGAGAGAGAGAGAGAGAGAGAGAGAGAGAGAGAGAGAGAGAGAGAGAGAGAGAGAGAGATAGAGAGAAGAGAGAGATAGAGAGAAGAGAGAGAGAAGAGAGTGAGAAGAGAGAGAGAGAGAGAGAGAAGAGAGAGAGAGAGAGAGAGAGGGAGAGAGGGAGAGAGAGAGAGAGAGAGAGAGAGAGAGAGAGAGAGAGAGAGAGAGAGAGAGAGAGAGAGAGAGAGAGAGAGAGAGGAGGAGAAAGAGAGAGAGAGAGAAGAGAAATTGAGAGAGAGAGAGAGAGAGAAAGAGAGAGAGAGAGAAGAGAAATTGAGAGAGAGAGAGAGAGAGAAAGAGAGAGAGAGAGAGAGAGAGAGAGAGAAGAGAGAGAGAGAGAGAGAGAGAGAGAGAGAGAGAGAGAGAGAGAGAGAGAGAGAGAGAGAGAGAGAGAGAGAGAGAGAGAGAGTGCTAAACGAGAAACAGACAGGCGCGAATAAAATCCGAATGGACGGGACTACCTCGACAGAAGAATGAACCTGTTTCGGTGTGAAGAAAGTTCACCTTTGATCGCTCACTTGCTAAGCGCTTTTATCTTAATTTGAGCGTGAAGTGCAAATTGACCCTTTGAAAAACTTTTGCGAAAAATTATCATCGTCATAATGCTTTTTTATCCTAAGATTACTTAATGTTGTAGGAAAATAGAGTGTGTGAAATTCGCGTGCGTGCGTACGTACTTTGGGGAAAGTCATGAGGCAGGAATTCAGTGCTGGCAGCAAGCCCGTGTGTACGTGTGTGCGTGTGTGTACTACAGCAGGTGGCGTCGCACGTGTGCCCGCGTTTCCCTACACTGAATCCCTTATCGCGCATAGACACACGTATAAAAACAATCATACACGTGTCCTTTCACACACGCGCACGCACACGCACGCATTATATACGTGTAATATATGTACACTCACCCACACACCCGCCCTCCCAACCACCCACACATACATACACTCATCTCCCCCACCCACAGCCATTCAACCCCCCCCCCTACACACACACACACAGCCATTCACCCCCCCTCTCACACCCCCCACCCCCACACGCAAACACACGCCCACGTCCTTCCTCCAACCATCCTTCCAACACGCACATGCACGGACGCACGCAGCTCGAAGACAAATCCTGATACAACACGCAGTCCTATCCCTGCGAGTGACAGGTGACAGCTGGTCTCCAAACCATCCGTCAAAGCAACACACTTGGCAGGTGGCGCTGGCGAAGGGGGGAGGGGGCAGGAGGAGGAGAAGGAGGAGGAGGAGGAGGAGGAGGAGGAGGAGGAGGAGGAGGAGGAGGAGGAGGAGGAGGAGGAGGAGGGTTCTTTGTCTGGGTTATCATTAAAGGTGGCAGCTGGGACGGCCTCCTGCGACGCACCTTTTTCTATAATGGGTAGGAATATGATTACAGCCATGTACCCACTTGTGTGCGTGTACGGCATATACGTGTAGTGCATGTACATATATATGCATACACACACATCCATATATGTATGAATATATATGTATGTATATATACATACCTACATCTCTCTCTCTCTCTCTCTCTCTCTCTCTCTCTCTCTCTCTCTCTCTCTCTCTCTATATATATATATATATATATATATATATATATATATATATACATATACATATATACACACACACACACACATATATATGTACAGATATAAATAAATAGGCAGGCTGTGGGTCCCGTTGGGAGGGCAAATGTTGGGGTACAGGATAGGAACGAGATTTATTCGCCCCAGCTGCACGCTGGCAGGCGCCAACCAAGCATGAGGCCTGTGGGGCAAAGCCCAAAGGAACTCCACAGGCGAACATTGGGCTCCACAGCCTGCCAACCCCCTTTATATGGGGCAGCGTCGGCGGGGGTGGCAGAGGTGGCACTCACCCAGAGCGACTGCGCGAGCCTTAATCTCAGGCGAGTTATCTGGGTAGCTTGGAACATCCAACCTTGTGTCAGGACAAGCGATTACCTATGCTATGGAGAGAATTAGAGCGGTTGATGTTTGCAAACTCAATGTGAAAGAAGTGTTCTACACCAAAATCACATCCATGGCAGACAATTACCCCTAGCAAGACATTTGCATTGGAGGCCACATGAAGCATGTTGCATGGCTCGGCTGAATGGCAAGGACTTGCGTCGCTCTTTAGTGCACAGGGCTCAGACACTGCTAAGAAGGGACAACGAACAGTTCATGAGGAATCTTGCTGAGGAGGTTGACGGCCATTTCTTGGTAAATGACCTTGGTAAATGACCCTGCCTACCAA